ATTGTACAGTGGCATTAAGTGCCGAAATGTGCACCTCTGCCTACCCCTTCGGGGATAAAAAGGCGTGATGTTATGTTATGTAATAAAACATGTATTGTGTATATACATATAGATAGCAGACACGACTTTCTCTTGTGAAAAAAAAAGTGGTTAATGTAGCACGTAAGATTCTTGTAACAATTAATTTTGACTGTAAATTATAAGAAAATGTAATGGAATGACAAGGGCACGGACAAGAGTCCGTGAAGAAAAAGATATGTAATATAATAAGAAATAAAAAAACTACCTTCCTTCTGCACTTCGAGCCGGAGCCTCGGTAACCCGTTAGGTTCTTCGCGACAGTAAAGACGCCTTAAGGTCTCATTTTACCTGGTCTGATTGTATGTTGCTTTTGCAGAGTAGTAGTAGTAGTAAAGTAGCTTAGATTTTCGGGTTCGCCGGTAAACGAACAGACGGATCACCTGATGGTAAGCAATGGGCGTCGCCCATGGACACACGGAAGACCAGGGGTGTTACAAGTGCGTTACCGGCCTTTTGGCAATAGGGTAGATGCCTAATTTTAATAATATCCGTTTTTTTTTATTAATGTCCGTCTGGTAGATTATTTTTAGGTAGGTAGGTTTAGGTAGACACTCGCTACATCACACATTTTTTCATTGTCTTACAGAAACGCATACTTTCGACGATATATTGATTTGAAATGTCGCGTGACGTCACTTCTATGTACATTTTATACGTAGAAATGACGTTTTAGGCTACTAAGTATTGTTTTATTATACAACAAAATGAAAAAATAAGTGTCTTAATATTTTTTCATTACCTAACTTACGGACGTAATAGATTTTTAATTTTCATACCCTGTCATCATCCCAATCGGAAATTGAGCTTTGGCACAATGGCCGTGGCGGAGCTGGGTGTTTAATACCTACTGTTCATTATTACAGAGTAATCCACGACGGTCTATCCTACCCCTGTCCAATATGCGGCAAACTGTTCCAATGGAAGCGAAATCTCTACCGACACACTCGCAACCATAGAGAGAGAGCCGCCGGCGCTCTACATGAATGTAGAGACTGTGGCAAGACATTCGCTAGTAGAGATTGCTACAATAATCATATGCGACTGAGCAAGCGACATGTTGCTGATGAAGCGCTCCAGTGAGTATATCTTACCAAAACTGTCCACTACTATCCAAAACTGTCCACAACTGCCTACAACTATCCAAAAGTGTCCACAACTCTCCAAAACTGTCCACACCTCTCCAAAACTGTCCACAATTCTCCAGAACTGTCCACAACTGTCCAAAACTGTCCACAACTCTCCAAAACTGTTCACAACTCTCTAAAACTGTTCACAACTTTCCAAAAATGTCCACAACTCTCTAAAACTGTCCACAACTCTCCAAAACTATCCACAACTCTCCAAAAATGTCTACAATTCTCTCACTGTCCACAACTGTCCAAAACTGTCCACAACTCTCCAAAACTGTCCACACCTCTCCAAAACTGTCCACAATTCTCCAGAACTGTCCACAACTGTCCAAAACTGTCCACAACTCTCCAAAACTGTCCACACCTCTCCAAAACTGTCCACAATTCTCCAGAACTGTCCACAACTGTCCAAAACTGTCCACAACTCTCCAAAACTGTTCACAACTCTCTAAAACTGTTCACAACTTTCCAAAAATGTCCACAACTCTCTAAAACTGTCCACAACTCTCCAAAACTATCCACAACTCTCCAAAAATGTCTACAATTCTCTAAAACTGCCCACAACTATCCAAAACTGCCCACAACTGTCCACAAGTGTCGCTCAGCGTACTGGCTGTATTTATCATTTCGTTAATTCAAGACGATGTAAATTTAACATTTTTATTCCAGACACGCTTGCACATACTGCGATAAGAAGTTCCCGACAAAATGGTGTCTTACTGACCATGTGGATTGGGATCATCTCAAGCGCATCAAATATCAATGTAGCTCCTGTTTTAAAGTAAGTATTTTATATGAAGTAGAATAATAGTTGTTGCCTCTTCCTCTGGGTGTCGTGTACCCCACAATTCTTTGCCTCTGTATTTCCTGAAAGGTGTCTTCAAGGCCCGAGTGAATAGATTGCTTATGGGACGACGTGCTCCATCGTAGACCGCATCATCGCTTACCACCACACGAGATAGTGGTCAAACGTCGCCCCATCAAATAGCGCTTGTCTACAGAGAGATTAGAAATCAAAATGTATAGTGATGGATAACACTGACAAGTGTCAAAATTTACGTCAAGTCCATATAATTTGGTTTTCTATTCTACATGTAGACAAGCGCTGAATGGCATTTGGCTATAGCTGCTGGCGTTGGAGAACGCGCGACGATCTCCGGCCACCGTAAGTGCGGGTCGGCGAGCATGGGTGGCTCGTCGCTCGACCAGAACCAGACCCGAGCGTACGGCGCATCGCGTTCTGCACGCGCCTCAAAAAGCCATCAGACCACCACGGATGGGGCTCATTAGGGGTGACGGGTTACCGGGGCTCCGGTTCGAAATGCAGGAGTAGGAACGGGGTGGTTTATAGTCAGTAAGAGTCTAATACTCTCTTTCGCCTCATCCAATGCGGGGAAGACATTGAATGATTTTATCCCCCTGAAAAAAAAAATCTCTAACTTTAACTTTATTTTAATGTCCGTCTGGTATATTATTTAAAATCATTGGACACGTATTTTTTATTTTCTCACAGAAACGAATACTTTCGACGATATATTGATTTGAAATGTCGCGTGACGTCACTTCTATGTACATTTTATACGTAGAAATGACGTTTTAGCCCCACTCCTAAACTTTGATTCGTTTTATCTAAGTTAGTATTGTTTTATTATACGACAAAATAAAAAAAATACATATCTAATATATTTCATTGCCTAATTTACGGACTAATTATATTTTTAATTTTCATACCCCGTCATCATCCCTATTCTGGGTGTCTTCAAGGCTCGAGTGAGTAGGTTGCTTATGCTGCTGCCATCATCCCCATTGTAGAAGAGCAGGGGAAGTAGCTAGTATTCTAATCATCATCATCATCATCAACAGCCTATAAATGCCCACTGCTGAGCAAAGCCTCTTCTCACACGGAGAAGGTTAGAGCGTTAATCACCACGCTTTCTCAATGCGGGTTGGTGATTTCAAACTTATAATTAGAAATTATAAGTCCAGGTTTCCTCACGATGTTTTTCCTTCACCGTTTGTCAGTGGTGTCTAAATAATCTTAGAAAGTACATATAACTCGGAAAAAGTCACATTGGTACTTGCCGTTGGTAGGTTTCGAGCCCGCACGCTCATGCATGAGAAGTGGGCGTCTTAAACCTCCGGGCCACCACGACATTATTCTAATGAAAGTTTTTATTTTTCAGCCCTTTAAAACTGCTAAAATATTGGTCGCCCATGTGAAGAATATTCACGAGGGCAAGAAGAAAGAAGTCGAGGGTGAACACCTATGCGAAATATGCGGGAAATCTTACAGGGTTAGTATAACAAAGTTATTTTTCAATATAACATCACACATTTAAATGCCACTGTACAATGTAACACCCACTTTTTGTATGTACCCATGTAACTCATACTCATGGGGCTCATATAGTAGTGAAATGTATATGTCACTATAGAGTAACCTATGGAGTTTCTTGCTCGTTCTTCTCCATAGGAATCTACGCCTTAGAATGAGCAACTAGCTTCACTTATAAATTTTTTGTTGTTTGACGTTCAAAAGTGCCATCCTGGTGTAATTGAAATAAATGATTTTGACTTTGACTTTATATGCCACTGTACAATGACCTGTCAAAAGTCAAAAGTCCACTGCCATCGTGAGTGATGTTCACACGGCAATGCGTAAGTAGTTTCATATTAATGTGCATAAACACGCGTGCGTACGCATACACACACGCACGCGTACGCACACGGATACAAATATGCACATGTGGGTATACGCGCTGCAGCGCAACCGATAGTAGTCTTACGGTGGCAGTGGACTTTTGACCTTTGACTGTACAAGTCTGCTTATCCTTTTGTGGATAAAAGGCGTGATGTTATGTTTATGTTATGTTTCATGTAATAGAGGGTGAAATTATTGCCATATATTGGGCACATTTACAGACTCTGTGCTAGTATTGAGAATTTTTAAAAACCCCAATTTTACTTTACCTGACCCGAGAATCGAACCTGAGGCCCTTTGCCCGGCGGTCGCGCTTGCGACCACTAGGCCAACGAGGCAGTCTTTATATGGCAATAGGCTCACCCCCTATTACATGGGACTCATAACATAAATAGTGAAATGTGGGTTTTACATTGTACAGTGGCATTAAGTGCCGTAATGTGCACCTCTGCCTATCCCTTCGGGGATAAAAGGCGTGATGTTATGTTATGTATATTTTGTATTTTTTTTTTGTATCTGTGTGCGTGCCTACTGTCGAATGTTTTTCTTTCTTTCTTACTATAAAAACATAGTCGAAATATCTTTTGTTTTTATTATATATTCTCAGACTGTAAAACGGCTCAAAGGCCACGTGTGGGCGATGCACACGAAGCGATCAAACAGCAAGGTATACAAGTGCAAGCTCTGTCCGGCTACATTCATGTGGCAGACCAGTATATACAAGCACATGAAGATGATGCACGATAATAAGAAGGCTAAGGTACGTTTGTATTGAGTTTTTAGCGCTCGACCGGAGTGATACCACAGCCGGGCAGAAAACCGACGTGAAGCAACGCTTGCGTTGTGTTTCGTCGTGTGAGTGAGGTTATCGGATGCTCAATTACCCTGACTGGAAGGTTACTTCCCCAATCTTGCCAATCCTTGAATCCCCAACGATCCTCAAACTCCTGATCCCCAAAAGGCCGGTAACGCACTTGTAACGCCTCTGGTGTTCCAGGTGTCCATGGGCGACGCCGATTGCTTACCATCAGGTGATCCGCCTGCTCGTTTACCAGCTTATGCCATAAAAAATTTTTTTTTTTTGTTTTTACTTTATACATGCATCGAAAGTACTCGTTATGACAAGTTGTTTTGCCGCGGGACGAAAACAAAATAGATTACACGGTGTATATTTTTCAGCTACCATTAATTAATTGACTGACAAATCCACAGAAATATTAAAATATTAAAAAATTAAAAAACAATATTATATTTGTGGCCAAACTACAATATTCTATACCAAAATTATGACGTGTTCAGTATTACCTATTGTACCTACTTTACTAAATAAATGATAATAAATATTTGACATAAGCAAATTATTGACATGACATATGTAATTTCACTAATAATTTCTTGTTTTATTATATAATTAACTGATTTGAATTTTGAACATTAATATTGTACCCAACTATTGTACAGGGCAGGACACAGCTGAGCTCAACCAAATTATGATAACAACTGTATTATGTATCTACCTGTGATCTACAATGAATTTGAATTTAATTCTACATTATAAATACTGATTACTCATTCACTCTTTTCCTCCCCACAGACACAACGGGCCGCCCCACCAGTGAAAAAAGAAGAGCCTTACCCGGGAATCGAACTAGCGAACCGAATGCAATATTTCCAACAAAATCTTTCAGGCAATCTCAACATAGTACATATACAACCAATTGAAATTGGACAGAATATAGTTTTTAAATAAATATGTGATCGACTGACATGTATATACA